CACAAATTAAAAAAAAAGACTTAGAAAAGAAGACAGTATCTGCATCCAGAGAAAGAACTGACAAATAGAAGTATGTATAGAATAATTTTACATATGTGGCTATTGTTTATTAATCCAATATAGAGCTAGAATGGATTGTAAAATCAGAAGAACAATCCCTTTACTAGTCCCTAGGACTGGTCACTTAAGCTAGTAAGCGGCCTTGTCTAGATGTAGGGAGACAAGTTAGGTTTTTCCCTGGTCAAAATAGTGTACTAAAGTAGTCTTGATTTTACTGTTGACAGAAATACACAATAAAGATGGGAGTACAGCAATATGAGAGAAGAGCAATGACATTTTGGGGCTAGTTTAGTACATGCTAAACCCTAGAGGATCGGAGGAATGTCTAAGGACTAGGATCTTACACAGATTTGGGGTTGAAAATTGCTTACCATTTCGTTAGTTGATGTTTAATGCCCTTAACTTGCCACTTTCAAGGAGAAGTTGTAGTTATACTACCCTAACAGATGGAAGCCACAATTACCTTAACAAATGAGCCCAGAAGCAGGTTTCAAGGAGCCATATTCAGTACTGCCTAGCAACCATCAGTCACCAGATGACCACCCGAGGCCACCAGAGAAATGTTCGCTATGGTAATACCAGTGAAGCTGTGCACCCCAGATGTTACTATGTCAAACAGCCACAAGAAAAATGGTGGAAATTTCAGATCAATGCATCCTGGGGACACACCAAACTTAGAGAGTCCAGAGAATGTGATGACATCTTTAGAAGATACCATTGATCTTGCAATGCTATAATCAGAAGACATTAGAACAGAAGTTTCCTACATAATCCTTTTTTGTTCTTCTTCATATGTTGAAATGTTTGTGTTTATTGACTTTTTTTATGGTTCATAACAATAAATGAAAATTTTTAGAGCAGAAAAAAAAGCTAACCTATTTCCCTTCTGCATCTTTCCCCTGTCTATAATTTTAACAGGCCACAAAAGCCTGCATTTCTTTGGCCTGAGTGTCTGTGATCAGGGCAATATATAAACTGACTTTGAAATGTTAGAAATGCGCTATATACTAGAATGTGCCTGCCAAAAGATGACTGACTGCCTCTATGCCATATGAAAGAGAGGGACCTCTGTTGGGGTACTTAAAGTCCCAGATATTTTATGCACTATTAATAAATTAATTAATTAATGTATTGTTACAAACTCAGATGAACCACTGAGGTTGGCATTCTGATCCAAACAATGAATCAATTGGTTTAGCCCAGTCAGTATCATAAATACACATGAAAAATTTCCCGTGTTAATAGAAGTTGATATTTGTCACTTCCTAATTTTTAGCAAAACCAAAGTTTCACTGGTTTTTCTCAAAAAGTGTGTTAGGCTAGGAAGCAACTAAAAATCAAAGGGTGACTTCTGCTTTTTGTATTGGCTTACCCTGGTGATTGACAGCACTCAAACCTCAAACTGAGAGAAAAAAAATTAATTCAGTTTTTGTTGCTAAGTCATATTTCAGTCATGTCCAATTCTTCGTGACCCCATTTGGGGTTTTCTTGGCAAAGATACTGAAATGATTTGCAACTGAGGCAAACAGGGTTAAATGATTTGCCCAGGGTCACACAGCTAGCAAGTGTCTAAGACTGGATTTGAAGTCAGGAAGATGAGCCTTCCTGACTTCAAGACTAGCACTCTATTTACTGCTCCACCTAACTGCCCCTTTAATTCAATTTCACAGACTCTTATTAAGCATTTATTATGTCCAAAGTACAATAATAGATGGAGGATATGAAGATGACAGACAGATTCCTACCCTGACAGTTTCCAATCTATTGATGGGATGGAAGGAACAAAGACATGTATAATAAAGTTATAATACAAATTAAATTGGCATTTAGGAGGAGTCCAACAGACTGCTCTGAATGATTCAGGGAAGGAGGAAACACTTTGGTTCTAGCTTGAACAAGTACATAGAAGTACATAGAAGGCAAGGTGAGAACCTCGTATTCCTAGTATTCTAGTTGAGGAAGGGGTGAGGGGAATAAAATGACTGAATTGTAAAGACTCTGAATTTCAATGGGTAGGTGATAGGAGCCATGGCACCCAAGATTTTCAAGCCAAGGTGTGATATAATCAGATTTATGGGCTTGAGATTTGTATCCTCGGATCAAGGATTAAAATATGGGTGTGATAGGCTCTTGGCCAGAGCCAGACAGGAGATTATGATCAGCTATGGGCAAGCTAGAGTTTAAGACTTCTGAGAGGAGCAATTCTAAGTGAAGCTGAGTCCCTGTGGAAGCCTACAGGTACAGTGAAGTCCTGAAAGTTGAAAAACTGGGACTCCAGAGGATTGGAAGAGCTCAAAAAAGCATGAACTTCGGCTTCCTGGGATAAATAATTGAAAATTATGAAGGATTTCACCCCAAATCATTCATCCATCCTTAGCTTTAATATCATTTCCCATTGCTATTATACTTAATGGGATAAATACCATTTCCTTGTGATAAGTAATCAGCCAATAAGCATTTATTAAGCTCACAGAACTCTGTGCTGGACACTGTGTTAACATCTGAAGACAGCAAGAAAGTCAAAACCAGTCCCTGGTCTCAAGGAGTTCGTATTCTAATGGAGCAGACAATGTACCACAACTGTGTACCAACAAGCTACATTCAAGACAAATTGGAAATAATCAGCAGAGGAAATGCACTTGAATTAACAGAGATGGAGAAAGACTTCTAGCAGAAGGTAGGATTTGAGTTAGGACTTGAAGGAAGCCAGGAGATGAAGATGACGGAGAGAACTCCAGGACAGGAGCACAGACATTATTGATTTATTTGTGCTAAATGGGCAGAAGAAATTGAGAAGTGAGATTTGGAAGGATTATAAATTTCAAGCTGGATGGGAACTTGGAAGGCCATCAACTCCAAATGTCTCATTTTGTAGACAAAGCAACTGAGGCTTAGAGGACTTAAGTAACTTGTTCAGGCACCTTGGAGATACTATAATTCAATTTCCTCTTCATAGTTGAGAAAGCAAAGGCTGGTGAGGCTCAAGTGGTTTGCACATGGTTATGAAGCTAGCGTGTAGAAGAGCTAGGAATATTTGTGGTCAGCTGTAGTCATAGAATCATGTGTCCCAAAGGGGGAAGGATCTTAAAGGTCATCTGGTCCAACCTCATCACTTTAGAGATGACACAGTTGCATCCAAGAGAATTTGATTGACTTGCCCTAAATCTCAAAGGTTGTAAGTAAGGGAACTGAGTTTGGAACTTGGATGTTCTCCAGCTCATTTTACAGATGAGGAAACTGAGGCAAGCAAGTTTAATGACTTGCCCAGGGTCACATAGCTAGTAAGTGTCTGAGGTTGGCTTTGAACTCAGGAAGAGGAGTCTTCCTGACTCCAGGCCCAGTAACTACTGTACCACTTAACTGCCTTCTATAAAGTACAAGATACAAATACATAACATAGCATAGTATAGCATAGCAGATAGAGATCTGACTTTGGGATAAGAAAGATCTGGGTTAAAATCTTACCTCTGACACATACTAATTGTGTTATCCTGAGTGAATAATTTAACCTTTAAATTCCACTCCTCATATAAGGTGTACTGATAAATGTTTAACAATCAGCTCTCAAACAAATAACTTGAAACCCGCTTTTAAGTTTAATCCTCATTATTAACATTTATTCATCGCTTTCTTAAATCTGGACAATCCACAGTACAATAAATCAAACTCTGATTTATATTGTTTCCCAGTTTCCAGGGGCTCATGCTGAAATTTAACAATTGACTCTCATTGTCCAGTAGGAGCTGGCTTCAGCATGTCCCCGACTATAAGTTATAGATAAATTGCAAATTAACGCCATTTTGGGGTTGGGGAGGGAGTTTCCTTACTGATAGTTCCCTTTACTGCTGAAAACACAGGTACAGACCAAAAACCAAAGTTAAAAAAAAAATAGCTCTCCTTAAAATGGAAGCAAATTCTACCTCATAGAACCATAGAATTTCAGACTGAAGGAAATCATCCCACCCCACTATTCGAGTACTATCATGGTGCAATGCAAAGAACACTGACTTTGGCATCAGAGGAACCAGGTTCCAATCTCAGTGCTCTTACAATCTTTGAGATTTAGGGCAAGTCAATCAAATTCTCTTGGATTCCACTGTGTCATCTCTAAAATGAGGGGGTTGGACCAGATGACGTTTAAGGTCCTTCCCCTTTTGGGACACGTGATTCTATGACTACAACTGACCACAAACATCCCTAGCTCTTCTTCATGCAAGCTTCATAACCATGGGCAAATCACTTGAGCCCTACCACGCTTTCATTCCTCAACTATGAAACAGAAATTGAATTATAGCATTCTAAGGTACCTGAACAAGTTATTTAACTCTTCTCAGCCTCAGTTGCTTTGTCTATAAAATGAGGCATTTGGAGGCTCCCATCCAGCTTGAAATTTATAATCTTTCCAAATCTCACTTCTCAAATTCTTCTGCATATTCAATACAAATAAATGAATAAAGATATGTCTGCCCCCCTGACCTGGAATTTTTTTAGGAGACTCAAGAAATAACCAACATTAAAAATATGGAAAATTATTTTGAACAATACATAATATTGTGGCAGCCTACCAAAACTCTATAGTGAAGATGCCAGGAGACCTTCAGGGCTAAATGTGAATGGCAAGAACAAAGCTTCCGTCTCCCATTAAGGCAAGATGTACTAGGGTCCCCTGGAGGACACAGGTTAAATAGTCATAAAGTCACGTGTGTAAATGATCTGATTACAGTTGGTTTAGTTCCCAGTTGACAGAGAACAAGTTGTCCAGTTTTGAGGCCAAATTGCTCCACTTAACAACATGAAGGTAAGAGGTCATGCTTAAAGCTGGAAGGCTCACAATTTAATCTCCTTTTGCTTTCATGAAACTCTTCTCATGTGGAGTCAATCTCTGTGACAAATGACCAGTAAAAGACATTCAATTTTCAGAAAACCAACGGCACAGGGACATGCAACAAGATTCCTTCAGGCAAGTTAATGATGCGTTGGGCATCCTCATCACTCCTGTTTTGTCCAGGAATCCATGATTTCCACAAAAGTAGGTGCTGGGTTCCACCTCATCAGAGGTCTTCAAGCCAGGGCTGGCTGTCCATTCCTCAGGGCTTGTTTAGTGGGGTTTCTTGGTCTGGTGTATGTTGGAATACATGGCCTCTGAAGTACCTTCCAACCTGGACATTCTGTGAATGTCTAATCTGATTTATATTTTCATGCATGTTCCTGTTCCAGGTGCCAGGTTCCATTGCACTGGTGGGGGGAGACAGTGTGCTTCCCTTATTTGACAGGCAGCTAGGTGGCAGACAGGACAGACAGCTGGAATTGAAATCAGGCAGACATGGGTTCAATCCTGCCTGAGCCACTTCCTAGCTTTCTGACTCTGGGTAAGTCACTTCCCCTCTCTCAGCTTCAGTTTTCCTATCTGTAAAATGAGGATAATAAGAACACCAACTTTCCAGGATAACTACCAGTCAATAACATTTATTAAGGTCCCACTATGTGCTGGGCACTGTGCTAAATGCTAGGGATACAAGGAGCTCATAGTTTAATGGAGGAGAAAACAAGTGAACAATCACATTCAATCAAGATGAATACAGGCTAAATTTGAAATAATCAACAGAGAGAAAGCCCTGGAATTAAGAGGGGCAGGGAAAGGTTTCTTGGTATTGTAAGGATTGAACTTAATAATATCTATGAAGCACTTTGAAAACTTTTAAGTGGTATAGTATTAATTTGCTATTATTCAGTAGTTAGCTATTGTATTTCACTGATGTCACTCCCCCAATGTTCTAGAAGCTCATAAATTCTATTCTTTCTACTTGCCCAGACGTTATACTGTTCAGCACATAATAGCACTTCCATAGATTTAACTGGGTTGGGGGCTGGGGATGAGGACACCAAAACAGTGAGGAGACTTGCTCCCCTTACCCAGGGTCAAGTGTAATATCAAGGTACAGGGGCTAGCTGCGCTCAAGTACCAAACTACTTGGCACCTTCAGAATCATCCTACAAGCTGGTAGAAAGACTCCCATGCTAGTGACTGAGTCTGAATGAATGAATGAATGAATGAATGAATGAATGAATGAATGATGAACAAATATTTCTTAAGTGATTGCTATTTGCAAAGCACTGGGCTAAAAACTGCTGATACAAATAGAAAAGCTGGGATGGTCTGCTAGTCATTTAGGGCCCACCACTAAATGCATTTGCCCCAAGTCTATACCATTGCACTGACTGCTGTGTTCCTAAAAATGCAGGAGGAGATTCAGGTTTGAAAGAAGTTTTCTGTCCATTTTGTCCAGGAATAGATATGATTAATGGAAATGACATTCAGTAAAATAAAAGGGCAGCTCAAGTTCCATATGTGATTTGGCTTTAGGTTTGAACTAGAGCTATCAATAAAACTACAAAGTATGGCAATGGTCTCTGTGATGCATGGACTCAGCCAAGAACTTGTTTCTTGGAGGCCCAGGGCGTTTCAATGTAGCTAGAGAAAGTTATATAATTGTACCGACTAATTTCAACCAGGTCCTCACAGCGGCAAGGCAATGTCTCTACTCCCTCTGATCAATTTTCTATCCCCCTCAGCACGGTGGCAGCTCCAAACATCCCTCCCCTTTTCTTCCCTCCCCTCTCCCTCACCCCACATAGCCAATCAGTTGTTTCTTTCTCCTCAACATCTCTCAGATAACATTCCCTTCTCTCTGCTCACACAGCCACAGCTCTGACATAGGTTCTCATCATCTCACTCTTAGAATATTGCAATAGGCTTCTTATTGATGTCCCTACCTCAAATCTGTCCCGGTTCCAATCTATTGTCTAGAGCTGTCAAAATGATTGTCTTAAAGGACATTTCTGAGAATTTCATCCCTTACTCAATAAACTCCATTGGTCCCTTATTTACCTCTGGAGTCAAATAAGAACTTCTGTATTTGACATTTAAAATCTTCACAACCTAGACTCTTCTTCTGTTTGTGGTCTGGCTTACTTGCTCTTTCTCACATATGACAACGTACACTGTACTCCTATCTATGTGGCTTTGTATTAGATTTGCCCTGGATCCATTTATTCATATGTGGCCTCTTCTGTTAAACTGAAGCTTCTTGAGGACAGAGGCTGTCTTTGGTCGGTTTTTGGTGTCACCAGTGCATAGCACAGTGTCTAGCACACCGTTAGCCCTTAATAGTCCTTATTGTTTGATTGGCTTTTCCAGGATTTATAGCCATATAGCATCAGTTGGAATAATATTCATGTAAAGAGATAGAGCATTATATCAGAGAGTGGCTTTTGATCATTAAAATGCTTCACAATTTACATAGTTGTGCTGTTATCTTTGATTTCATTAAATGACATGGTGCCCAGGAGGAAAGAGGCAATGGCTGCCCTCTAATCTGTCCTCTTCACCCCACATCTGGAATACTGTGTTTACTTATGGGTGGTGCATTTGGGGAAGGACATTGACAAACAAGAGCATATATGGAGGAAAGTAATCAGTGTGGAGAATGCACTGGAAAACATGCCATTTGAGAATCAGTTGAAGGAAATGTAAGTATTTAGATTAAGGGATGGGGAATCTGCGACCTTAGGGCCACATGTAAACTTCTAGGTCCTTAAGTGCGGCCTTTTGACAGAATAATCACTAGTCTTTTTGACTGCACTTAAGGACCTAAAGGGCCACCATGTGGCCTTAAGGCCACAAGTTCCCCACCCCTGGTTTAGAAAAAGAGAACAATGAAGGGGAGAAGAGAGTGCCTAATAGGTGTCTTTAAGAATTCAAAGGTGGCGTGTGGAGGAAGATTAAACTTGTTCTATCCTTGTCCAGAAAGCAAAATTAGTACAGTAAAAATAGATAGAAGTTACAGAGAAGCAGATTTCAGCTCCATGAAAGAAAGAGCTTCTTAACAATTAGAGCTGTCCTAAAATATAATGGGGCTGCCTCAAAAGGTAGTGAGTTTCCCGTCAAAAGATTTCTGCAAATTGAGGCAAGATGACAACTTCTTAGAGATATCAGTCAGTCAAGTCAGTAAATATTTATTAAGTGCCTTCTATGCTAAGCTCTTTAGATGCAAAGAAAAGCAAAAGCCAATCTCTGCCCTGGAGGAGCTCATAATCTAATGGATGTTGGAGAGATTCCTGTTCTGTTAAAGATTGCAGTGGGCAGCCACTCAGTTTCCTTCTAATGCTAACATTTTGTGATTCTGCTTTTATGCTGGATTAAGTAGTTGATTGCTGATGGAATCATTCCAGCCATGCATGCAAGTGGGAACCCCTCAAAGCTAAGCAGGGAGGTCACTACATCAGTGACTAGCTAGAGATGAACTAATATGGAAGATATTTTCATTTAGGATCACAACTAAGGGATTGGGAACCCCTGGCTAGGTCATATTACACAAGGGTATTCAACAAATGGTTAATGTTAATTGAGTTGTTATTCATCATCAATATCCCTACAAAGTGTTCTGTGATAGCCTTATGTGCCCCTTTAATTAGGAAAATATCTCTAGAGAAGCTAGCAAGGTCATAGATGGGCCTTTCCAGCCCAACCCCTTCATTTTGGAGAAGGGAAAACTGAGATCCAGAAAGGTTACATGACTTTAGGCTGTCCTACATGTAGTAAGTAGCAGAAACAGATTTTGAACTCAGGTTCTCTGACTCCAAATCCAAGACTCTTTCATTATATCATGAGATGTCCCATTACTTCAAAAATCACATTTACCCATGTATTTTTCCACTCAAAGCAACTCTCATCCCAATTATGGCGGACTGTTTACACTGGGAAAATGGAGTCCTTTGTTTTGCCAGGGACCAAAAGCAAGGGAAGTAAGTTCAAATTTTACCCACCATCATAAACTTTCACTAACACAGGACGACAGACTCACATTGATAGCCCGTTACGTGTTTACTATGTACTTTTCCGTTCTTTCCCTTTACAGGAACATGTCCCACCATGCAGACCTGCACACCAACCATGGGCAAAGCACCTTGGCACAGTCATACCCTGCTCAGAAAGACCCTACAAGACTGAACATACAAGTCATTGGCAGCTCATCCACTAGTGGTTCTTCAAGACCATTTTGAAATAAATGACAAATTTCATCACAAAATCCCACTTGGATTAAGTTCCAAAAGTTTTGGGGTGAAAGTTAAGTTTATTTTGCAATGCAGGAAATTACTGAGTAGGTTTGGGAATGCATTTTTTTTTGTTTTTTGTATAATTTCCAAAATGTTTTCTTCAATATTTAGGAAAAGGGTCAGCGCACAAAAGGGACAAGAAAATTGGCAAACAATATCCCAAACTTCTGGGTCTGGGAGCAGAGAGGAGTTTTGAAAACACGGATGTCCTGACGCCATACCAATGTGACTTAGATGATGGCTTTTCCAGATACGTGTGGGAATGATACCTTGGGGACTCAAATTGGAATAGGGCCCTGTGCTCAAGGTGGACAAAACAATCCTGATTTACATCCAACAGAAAGAAGAATGGGCGATTCTTCCCCAGCCTGGTGTAAACACATCCCCAGCTAGGTGTGGCAGAAGTAGCATATTGGACAGATGGAAGGGAAATATTTTCTAGCAACACAAAATGCAAACTAGCACTGCCAGAATCCCCTAAATTCAAGAAAATAAGCTTTTTGTGGTATCTTTTATGTTCATGGATTGTATGTATTTCTACGATGATTACACTATGTATGTGTGTATACTCATAAACATCTTTCCCTGAGAAACCACAGAATTTTCTATCTCATCTACATCTTTCTCTGGTTAACTAATAACAAAGCATAGTATTAAAATTACTTGATTAAAACAAAAAAAAAAAGCACAAGTCATAGTTAACAGTTTTAACCCTGGAGGCCCTTCAGAGAAATGTGTAGTATAAGTAGAAATGATGATAGATGATAGTTATTATTATCGCTTTTGTTATTTATGCTGAATAGGGGACATTTGATTTTTTTTTCTATGCCATCAGTACTATTGTTAAGCTCTTTAAGGCTCCACCTTCTTAATCATTCTGGGGATAAAAATAAAGTTCTCTAACTGGAAATTCTTGTTACCTGACATATTTGTCAGGTGGTTTCTTACTCATTGCCTGTACCTCTAATAGACGGTGAAAAGTACACATAGAGAGTAGAACAGAGGAGAGCAGAACAGAGTTGAATCCACCCCCTTTCACTTCTTGTCTCCCACAGGCTTCCCTTCAGTTTTTTTGTTTTGTTTTGTTTTGGTTTGGTTTGGTTTTTTTGGTAATGGAAATCATCTGGTATGAAATCTTTCCATTACCCTTTTCTACTGTCACTCTTTTAGTGTATTCATCTCCTATTTTGCCTTACTTCACTCAAGTTTTAGAGAATGAGGTGGCCCTCCTCTTTACTAAAGCTACCCTTACACCAACCTTGATCTCGTCCCCTCCCACCTCTTCTGTGACTTTGTCTCAACATGCTTAAAATTGAATTCAAATTCTTCCCTCACAAATCTGCCTCTCATCTCTTTAAAACTCCATTATTGTTCAGGCATTTCAGTTGTGTTCGACTCATCCTGGGGTTTTCTTGGTAAAGATACTACAGTCATTTGCCATTTCCTTCTCCAGTGGCAAACAGAGGTTAAGTTACTTGCCCAAGGTCACACTTCTAGGAAGTTTCTGAAGCTGGATTTTATCTCAGAACTTCCTAACTCCAAGCCCAGCACTCTAGCCACTGTGCCACCTAGCTGCCAATCTTCCTAAAACCTCACCACCTTCCTAATTACTCAGGCTCATAATTTGAGATTATCTTTGGGTCTCCTCTTTCCTTCATCCCATTCAATTAATCAGTCACCACATCCTGTAATACCTTTTGTATCCAATTTTATCTGTAGCTTTGCTGGAGTACCTTCTCAATGGACAGCTGGCATCTGTTTTTCCCTGAAGTTTTCCGTCTTGGGTACCAAAGACAGACGGACATGCGAAGCTAAGTAACCTCTGGGGGACTATGGCAAAGGGCAGTTGTCAGAGATTGCGCTGGCATCACATGCTCTAGTGGAACTTTTAAAAAGGCAGACGCAGTATTTTTGAGTTTCACTTTTACTGATTGACTCATAGTCCTGGAGTATAGCTGCAAGCCTGGGAGAACACATGGACATGGGATTCCCAGGGGAGAATTTCTCTTTTTCTCACCCAATTTTATTTTATTATTTTATTCTGAATTTAATAAACACCAAATAAAATAAGCATTTCCATTCACAAAGTAGAGCAGGAAAAGAGGATTTGTATACAAAACCATGAATCTCTACAACTGACTTTTCCTTTAAAGTTTATAAAAATTCAACATATAACTTTCAAACATGTCTTATTTTTCTGTGTTTACTTATGGTTTTCCTTATGTCCTCTTCTGTAAATTTAAAAATACTTCAATGACCCTCCTTTCTTTTTTTTCTGGCAGTCTTATCTCTGCCTCACTTATCTCAGTAGAGAATTTCTCTTGGCCCTGGTCATGGAAGTTCCAAATAGATGTTTCTCTGGATTTCAAGGAGTATAGGTGAGTCATAAGAAGGAGAATCAGAGACAAAAACTGGTCACGAAGGGAGATGTCATGAGGTATTTTCCTTGAACCCTTTTGACTATAAGATCAAGAATGCTCAATAAAGCAAACTTTGGTCACATCTGCTCCACTACAAAATGCAGAATATAAGGTAGGAGAAACTGACAATTCTGACTCCATCAAAATGGCAGCAGCTTAGCTAAAGCTGTTTAGACATGAACGCTGTGACATTTTTGTAATGTGTGTCTGGTACATGTGCAGAGCATTTGGGATTGTGTGTCTTCACATGGGGAACTTGGGAAGCCTTCTTTTGGGAGAATTATGATCATGCATAAGAGCAATTCCCTAGGGTGATTGTGGAACATGAGTAGGCTTTCTATAACTGGTTCCAGTGAGCTAACCATATGATGAAACGTATCATAAAAAGCTTATTTTCTTGAATTTAGGAGATTCTGGTGGTGTTAGTTTTCACTTTGTGCTGCTAGAAAATATTTCCTATCCCTTGTCCAACATATGATTACATGTGTAGACATTCTATAACTGGTTCCAGTGAGTTAACCATATGTAGAAGATTTTGTGACTGACTATGGAGGTACCTCCTCTTTGCCAGCTCTTGGGATGCCAGTGATGTTTTTACTCATGGTATCTGTGAGAGGAATGGAATCTCTGACCCTAGGAGCTTCAAAAGATGAGAAGAGCAAGCCCCAGGAATTTGGGAATTGAAGCACAGGCTGAATGTTTCAGCCAGCCCAGGGCTGATGACATGAGAAGAAAATAATAGTCTTTAGGACGACCTTTGGTTTTTCCCATCAAGAAAAGGCTGAGAGAGAACCAAAGGTGGTATACAAAAGAATATGTCCCAGAGGTGTTGGAGAAAATATTTTGATGGTTGCTGTAGTTATATTTTTGAAGCAAATATCTATCCATCTAAATGGTTAGATGGAACTGGACTCTTAGTCACTGCCCCTCCCAACAATGATGAAAATATAACGAAGCAGGGTCTTGAGCAGATGGCAGAGACACTCAACCTCCCTCAAGGTTCCGGAGAACCCTGAGGAGCAGAGGTAGCTTGCTTAGGCCTGAAAGAGTGGGCCCAGAGAATCTATATGATGATATAATGTCATTTTCACTGTAGTAAATGAATTTTATCCCATACTCCAAATGAATGTATCTTTTTGGTAATAAATTGAATAAAGATTCAAGATTGAGGTCTTAGTAGATTGGAGTATATGTAAAAAAAAAGAGTTATGAATTGTTTACAGAATTCCTGTAGGCTTAAAACAAGGAGACACAGGGAGCTAGGAAAAGCTTGGATGGCTAAGCAATTCTTGTGTGTGTTTAATTAGGTATGAACTAATGTAGCAAACTTTGAGTGCCATCTGGACTTGTTATGCAAAAAAGCTCATATTAATAAATGTTTTGAAGATAATTTAGTTTGTTTGGGTCTTACATTAACTTTGTATTATATATGATTATATGTATTTTCATCAATATATATGTGTAATAAATGCACATATGTATTTTCATACATACATATATGTGTATATAGATAGAGATATTTCTATATCTATTTATAACTACATATGAATGATGTGTGCGTGTGGGTATTGTCTCCTTCCATAGAATGTTTTTTTGGAGGCCTGGGACTATTTGATTCTTGTCTTTGTATTCCCTGGGCCTAATAGAGGATGGGACACATACAAAGGTCCTTAACAAAGGTTTGTATATTGAGTGATTGTTGAGGAGATGAAGTGTTGGCTAGATAAGGTAGTTAGTTCTTGGTTCTCTTAATTTCCTTGTTGTAGCAACAGAATCATGTAGATTAAAGTAAGCACAGTGGAATGAGCACTGGGTCTAGAGTTAGAGAACCTGGTTTCAAATCCAGTTTCTGATAATGGTTATCTTTTGTTATTGTTCAGTTGTTTCAATCATGTTGACTCTTCATACTTATATTTGGGGTTTTATTGGCAAAGATACTGGAGTGGTTTGCCATTTTTTTCCTCTGGCTTATTTTACAGATGAGGAAACTGAGGCTAACACGCTTAAGTGACTTGCCCAGAGTCACACAACTAGTAAGTGTCTGAGGCTGGATTTGAACTCAGGTCTTCCTGACTCTAGGCCTGGTGCTTTATACACTACACCATATAACTGCTTAATAACTACCTACCTGTATGATTTGGGGCAAGTTATTCAATGTCCCTAGGCCCATCATCTGTGCAGTAAGAGGGTTTGACATCCTGGGCCCCTTCCAGTTGTAGTTCTATGATCCTGTAAAGGTTATTTAAGAAATAGTGACAACAGCTCTTTTTAAAAACTGATCTGAAACCTGGAAAGACTTGCATGGTCTGATGCTGAGTGAAATGAGCAGAACCGTGAGAACATTGTACACAGTAACAGCCACATTGTGCAATGACTCATATTGATAGACTTAGCCCTTCTCAGCAATACAAGGATCTAAGACATCTCCAAAGGCCTCGTACTGGAAAATGCTATCCACATCCAAAGAAAGAACCATGGAGTTTGAATGCAGATCGAAGCATACTATTTGCTATTTTTTTCTTCTGTTGTGTTTTGCTTCCTCTTTCTGGTAGTTCCTCCTATTGGTTCTAATTCTTACCTACAACATCACTAATGTGAAAATATGTTTAATAAGAATGTGTATGTATAGCCTAGATCAGATCACGAGTTGTCTTGAGGAGGGAGGTGAGGAAGGAGAGGGAGAAAATTTTAAAACTCAGAAGCTTATGGAAGTGATTGTTGATAATTCAAAATTAATTCAAAATAAAAAAAATAAAAAATAAAACTGACTTGATAGACTACTTTAGAGCTTTTTGTAATTTAATTTTAAATGTTTATTAATATATTTTAATGATACTTCATTTCTCAATATATTCCTCCTCTCACCTCTAACCAGAAGTCTATCCCCTTATAACAAAGAAATTTTAAGGACAGAAAGAATGCAGTTCAGCAAACCCAATCAACAAAACCAATCCAGTCCAAAAGTATGTGTGGCATTCCACATTCACAGTCTCCCCAGCTCTACAAACAGGGGAGGGGGATGAATCGTCATATCTCTTTTTTGGCATTAAGCTTGATATTACACAGCCCTCACTTTCCATTTCTGCTCTTGTTGCTTCCATTTTCATTGTTGCAGGTGTATATTTCTTTCCTATTCTACTTACTGCACTTTGCATTATTAGTTCGTTCAAGTTTTCTCCTGCCTCCTGTATTCATTATATTTATCATTTTTTTATGGCTTTGGTAATATCCTGTTGCATTCATGTGCAACAATTTGTTAGCCATTCCCCAGTTAATGAGCAACTACTTTATTTCCAATTCATTGCTACTGAAGAAAGTGCTGCTATAAATACATTGGTATAGATGGGGTTTTGCTTTCTGTCTTTGACCTCCTTGAAGTATATATTTAGCAGTGTGCTCTGAGTCAAAATGTGTGGTTATTTTAGTGACTTTCTATATGATATTCCAAATTGCTTTCCAAAATGGTTGGACTAGTTCATGGGAGCTATTTTAATTTCATACAGTGCCTTCTCATCTTTCTCTTAATTTGGTATTGATTCTAGCCTTTAACTCACCAAAGGTCTGACTACTTGGACAGCTAGCTTATTTGGAAATGACTTCCATATTGATAACCACAGAAACTCAGTCATTTCCTGTTTGTTAACATATAGCCAGTTTTTTTCTTTCTTTCTTTCTTTCTTTCTTTCTTTCTTTCTTTCTTTCTTTCTTTCTTTCTTTCTTTCTTTTCTTTTCTTTTCTTTCTTTCTTTCTTTTCTTTCTTTCTTTCTTTTCTTTCTTTCTTTCTTTTCTTTTTCTTTCTATTTCTTTTTTCTTTTTTCTTTCTTTTTCTTTCTTTTTTCTTTCTTCCTTCCTTCCTTCCTTCCTTCCTTTCTTTCTTTCTTTCTTTCTTTCTTTCTTTCTTTCTTTCTTTCTTTCTTTCTTTCTTTCTTTCTTTCTTTCTTTCTTTCTTTCTTTCTTTCTTTCTTTCTTTCTTTCTTTCTTTCCTGGTGTTTTTAGTGCTTGTTTTGTCCAGTGTCCCTCTTCTTAAAGAAAATATTCATGATCCACAGATGTGAGACATCTGAGAATCAATAAGTCTTTGACTTCTTTCTTTTCTTAATCCCAGACTGTTTTTCAGCATGGGAACATTGGACTAACACTATACAGAAACTTAGCAGCCCAACTAAAAATAGAATTTCTCTGTTCTAATTCTCAGTACAGCACCCAAGCGGCAATGCACCTAGCTTTCAATTAGATTCTGTTAGAAGCAGACAAAGTAAAAATCAAATGTAAGTATTCAATGTACAGTCATATGAAATGTTGCACAATTCCATGACTCGGCAGCATTATGATGAGAAGTGGTGGTAAGCTGAATCAGAACTCGAAAGCAGAAGAGAAAAGAAAATGTTTCTTTGCTTTGATGCCAAGTCATGTTCTAGCATTGTTTGGTTTCACTGGGTTTCCCAAAAGGAGATTCACCTACTGCCTCACCCCTTTCTTTCTGACATTAATTAAAGACTTGAAGGGATGATCCCTCCCTGGGCTGGGCATGGTGGGAAATAGCTTATGTCCTGATGTTCAAGATGTCGGAAAATGAAGAACTAGATTCTCATGTGGGTCTAGCCACAAAGCACAGCAAATTAAAAGATAATTGTCAGCCAAATTCTGCTGAAAGCTGAGGGTTTTGTTGCAACATAACAGATGCCTTTGGATTCAGCTTTAAATATGAGTCAAATTCATGCTATACTGTGATCTCTGGGTGAAGGTCCAGCCTCCCAGCCTAGAAACCTTGGAGTTACCTTCAGCTCTTCTTTTCTACTCAATCTGACCTCTCTCTCTCTCTCTCTCTCTCTCTCTCTCTCTCTCTCTCTCTCTCTCTCTCTCTCTCTCTCTCTCATCTCATTCCCTTCTCAACAGTTTCACTCTCCTAGGATGGGTTTCCTCACAGCTCTCTGACTATAATAACCACCAATGACTACTTCCCTATATCCATCCATCCTTTTTGCCACTGCCAGGCTGATCTGCCCGGAAAACTGTTTTTACCAGATCACTCTGCTTCTCGAGAGCCTACAATAGCTATTTCCTAGGATTGGAACTCAAAAGTCAGAAGGGACCTTGAAGACAATCTATTCCGACTCTCTCATTTTACAGATGAGGAAACTGATGTGTAGAGATTAACTGATTTGCCCCACAGTACTGAGGGGCAGTTGGGATTTGAACCTGGGTTCCTCTATTCGCAGTCTAATCTCCTTCTATTGTACTATCCTGCTGCTATCCTTCCGTCTTATTCCTGCAGCCCCACATTGTTTAGTCATTCCAGTCATGTCTGACTCTTCGTGAATTCATTTGGGGTTTTCTTGGCAAAGATCCTGGAGTGGTTTGCCATTTCCTTCTCCAGCTCATTTTGCAGATGGGGAAACTAAGAAAAACAAGGTTACGTGGATTTGTCCAGGGTCACACAGCTAGTAAATGTCTGAGGCCAGATTTGAACTCAAGTTTTCCTGACTCCAGGCCTGGTGCTCTATCCACTGTGCCACCTAGCTGCCCTTTTAACCTTACAACTCCTCCAATGTAACACAAGTCCTTTTCCTCATTATTTTAATTGTTATGTACATGTTTTTAATCTGCTGGCTATTTGCCCCATTCTTTTTTTTTTTTTTCATAAAGAGGATTTTCCTTTTTAATTAGAACTGTGAGTCCACTGATACAGAGAATTCAAATTCCCTATGAGGAAGCTCCTACCAATGCAGGTTGGTTCTTTTTCCACCTACAGCTTACTGTCTTAGAGAGTTGCCTATAACACTGGGAAGTTAAATGACTTGCCCTCATCACACAGACATTACATGTTAGGGGTGAAACTTGAACACAGGTTTTCCTGATTCTAAGAAAACCTATTCTATCCACTCCACACTGCCTGTCCTCAGCTCTCTTCCAAGGCTCATTTCAAGTCTTGTCCCCTGTACAAAGTTCATTCTGACAGCTCTGCCCTACACTAACCTTTGTCTAATCTTTGTCTTCTCTCACTATATCTATAGTCAGCAGAACCACAACCAGAACTGTACCCCAAGATATCAAATTTGGATGGATCTTAAAACATTTGTAGTCTAATATGCTAGGGTTTTCTGTAGCAGCCATAGTTGAGCTGTCACATTTAATTACCAGACAGTAGCCACCTAGCTAGGTCCTCAGTCTCAGAAATATACCCTTACTCTTTGATGTGGTTCAGTCGTTTCAGTTGTGTCTGACTCTTCATGACCCTATTTGGGATTTTCTTGGCAAAGAAACTGGAGTGGTTTGCCATTTTCTTCTCTAACTTATTTTACAGGTGAGGAAACAGAGTCAAACAGGGTTAAGCGACTTGCCTAGGGTCATATAGCTAC